TTGTTATTTTTAATAGACACTTATATTGGTTTTGTGTTTTCAGTTAGTATGTTATGTGATATCTTCTAGTTGGACTTGCACTATTTCTATGGTTATAGGCTCTTTTCTTTTTATTTTTAAATGTTACCCTTAATACGATATGTGGAGTAGAAGGTATTCCAAGAATGAAGATTTATTTATTTATTTTTTTATAAAAATCAAAATTAGAACTTTTTTAGAAATTAAAAATATATTTAAATTTAAAAATAATATATTAAATAGCACGTGTGTATTAATATCTATATCTACTAATAGTAAAAATGGTAGAGTAAAAAATTATGTACCAAAAAAAAAAGGATAGATCTGAAAACTATATGCAATTGTATGGCAGAGTTATTATTGGAACATTTGAACATTGCTTATTTAATATACTCACATGGTACGAGTTATTATATTGGAGAAAAAATTAGGAGTCTCTCATTGTTGAGACCATCTTTTTGAAACACGGCTTTTTTCTTTTTATGTTGTGTTCATAAAACACGATTTATCTTCTTTTGGAATTATTTTGCAAAATACTTTCTTTACGTAAAAATAAAAAGTAGTAGTTAATAAGTAACAAATTCATAGAAATCTATTTTTTTCACTAACTCTTTGACAAAATTAAACATGAAACAGTAGAAAGAAGACGTTGGTAGAACAATTTTTTGATATGAAAAACTAAAATAGTTTTTCATTACCATGGAATGCTAAATGTTTTAATTATTTTATGTATTTTGTTATGATGTGGACGGCAGTTTGTGTCCGTATGATGGCTTTACTTTTTCTCTCCCCACACACTAAGGCCGTGTCTCGTGGACTCTGGAAATTAATAAAGTGAAGAAAAGGATTGCATTCATTTTTATTTTTATTTTTTTACTTGTTACTATATATACATTGCAATCAATGGATTGGGAGAAACAATAGACTAATATAAATTTTACAATCAAAATTGTTTGATTATTCACATTGATATTATCATAAATTAAAATAAGTTAAATTTGATCTTATCATAACTATTATCAAATATATCACATTTATATTAATATAATTGCATCTTAATTGAGATGATCATATTGTTGTTGACTTTATCATGTTTTAATTAATACGTCATATTAGTATTTTTTTTATTTATTTTTACTTATATAATTACATTTTCGATCTTATTAACACACTATAATTAATTTAGTCATGTGTGATGTAAATAATATTATAATAAATTATTCACACATGTTAACAAACTTCTTTTCCTATGAAATTTACAAACTATTTTTTCTTATGAAATCTACTATTTAAAATGGTATTATACACCATGTATCTCTTTATATTGTTGTACTACTTGCTCCCAAATTTACTTGTGTTAGAGTTTACAAGTGATTGACCATTAAGTGTCCCTCTCCAATAAGTTTGGTCTAGTCATAGTTAGTTGTTATGGAGCATCCATTATTAATGTATTTTTTTTCTTCTTAATATAGATATTTATCGTATCATTAATTACAAAAACAATTTATTTATTTATAAATAATACGGAAGGATACTATTCAATAGTGTGCAATTTTTTTTTCAATGATAATATATCATTAAAAAAACTAAACTATAACCGATGATTCCATTGAAAAGATTAAGTATGAGGCATAAATGTAGTTTGTATCACGTTGACTGTTTTGAGTAAGCTTGTATATTAATATTATAATAAAGTATATATTAAGTATTAATTAATGTTGTGTACACACTATATATATATTGTAAGAAGGAATCTTAGAATGTGAAAGAATATAATCTCGATTGACTTGCCTTCTGGCAGCACTATTTGACTTCAATTCATTATTTGTTTTCCACAGCTTTAATTCGTTTTTACATTTTAGTAATGAGATATTGCCTTTTTAACTAAGAAAGAAGGTCAGAAAACAATACTAATATAAGTGTAATTTACACAAATTCACTTTCGTTCATTGCCTATCACCACAATAATTGTAATTTTCTTTTCATAATAATTATTTTTAAGCAGGCCATTCATGTGGTTGATTTTTAATTTGGTTCTTATTTGTAAAAAATATATATATATTACATTGATCTTTATATAAAATTATTATTAATTTCGTCTTTATTGTCATATGTTAATTGTTAATTTTTTAAAGTATTTTTTAACTTGATCCTTATAATTATAGTTTATTCTTAATTTGGTCTATATGATGTTGAACATTATTAATTTAGTCCCTATATGTAGAGATCAAATTAAAAATATATGACCAAAAAATGGATTAAATTATGAATGTTTAACATGTATATATATTAAATTAAAAATGTGTGTTGAAGATTTCACTTGGACTAGGAATAAGATCATGATAGTGTATATGAGTAGGAAATAATCCTTACTTTATAAGCTAATTTTGTAAGATTAAGTTAGGTCTATAACTCATATTTTAAAATGGTATTAGAGCATATTAGCAATTATCACTTGTTAATAGACTTATTAGGCCATTCGTTATTGAACTATTTGTAGATGTCCAATCTTGTAAGATGGTAGAGAATACAACCAATTCTCACCTTACAAATTAGTTTATAATGTTAACGTAAACTCTTAACCCATTTTTTTTATTATAAAGAATAAGTCAAGAGATTAACAATAATGAGACAAATCAATAATATTTATACATAAAGAAATTGAGTTAATATTTTTTGTATTTTATAAAAAATATTATTATTTTTATTCCCCTTTTAATCAAAGTTTTTTTTCATGCAAATTAAGAAATTAAATAAATTTTCTTATTTTTTATAAAATAGTTTTGAAGTTTATATACAGTACTTTTTTTTTTAATATTTTCACTCTAATAAATGCATATTAGATTACAAAAATTAATAAAATGTGATATGATTGATAAATAATTATATCTCTTAAATATATGGTCAGAAGTTCGATCATTAATAGTCTATAAAAAAATATTTATTAGAAGAGATTAACTCCTTTAATAGATCTCAATACTTAAAAAAAAAATTAGTTCTAAATTTTAGACAAGAGAATACCTTAATTTATCAAAATATTTTTTTTACCAACTAAAACAATATATTATATAACAAGAAAATAATGCATTATTGTTATATTAAATCAAAAATAAATAAATATTTTTTTTTCAAAAAAAATAATAATTAGAAGAAAAAAAACAAAAGAAGTATACAATTTTCTAATATACTCCTTATCTATTAGATTCTTTTTATCTATTTCTTTTTCTACTCCACAATATTTTTTGTCAAGGATAGAAGAAGTATTTGCCAAGTAAGATTTAATCAATAACATTATGTTATATTTAAGTCTAGTAGCAGAGATTGAGTGCATGAGGAGTTATATTTAGTCCTCATTATTATTGTGTGTAATGATAAAAAATGTTATATATATATTTTTTTAATTTTAAGTATTATCTTTAACTTTAAGGTAACAGTTGAAAAATTTGTAAGAGATGTGTATAATCACATACAATAAATGTGTGCAGATGAACGGTATAAGGATAAGGAATAATTAATATTTGAACTATAGACTCATAGGCTAAACGGCACTGAATCACATAACTAAATAAATTGTATGAATAGATATTCAAATAATGTCCACTTTATCAGACAATGTAGCTATGGACACATAGGCTTACATTATGTTAAATGAGACCAAATGCATAGAGAAAAAATGTTCAAAAAATGAATGCAAAAAATAGAAGAATGAGAGGCACCACCAAACAATAATTCAGAAAATAAATAGAAAAAAAATGAAAAAGTTGAAAAGTGTTGCAATCATGAGAGGGGCCACATGGTTCAGTGGTTTTGGCTCTGTTATGGTATGTGTCGGTGCATAAATCTCTCACCGCGTTAACCAATTATATAATATTATTCAATAAATACAACTCGTGCCACTTTATTATACTTTACAACACAAGAAAATATATTATTTTTGATAAATTAAATAAATAAAAGTACACAACCAATAAATCATTGATAAACCAAATTAAGAATTTGATAAAAGAAGAAGAGTTGAGTTCATGATCGTGATTCCAAATCCAAAAGTGGTAGAAGAGCTACGCTACAAGGAATTAGGAATCATTTGACTTTGTTTTTTTCTTTTTAATTTTAATTTTCATATAACGTCACATTGAAATTGCTTCATAAACAAATTAACCCACAAAAAGAAAGACATTGTCCATATAAAAACCATGAGTCATGTTTCTAATGTCATCAATTTGCTTACACTTTAATTTATCTTTTATTATCCACTAAGACTATATTATCTTAGATAAATTTTACGAAGCGGGTGTTAAATAATTAATTAAATTACTCTTGATATAAAAAACTACACAGTGAAATCATAAAAACCATCTTTGCTGTTTAAAAAAATATTTTTGATATATTTTTAAAGTGGTTATTATAAAAAGTAAATAATTTGTGAATTAATAATATATAAAAATTGTATTGTCATTCAATGGTAATTTATTTTACATAATAAATTAATTACTTTAAACATAAAATTTACCATATTTTTATTGACCATCAATTATACTAATAATACATAAAAAAAATTCTATTACAAAAGTAACAAACTTTTCATTTACAACAAATAAAATAATATGTATTTTTTTTTATTAAAGATAGGGCTGATTTACCAGATTATTTATAGTGACATGTGGTATAATAAAAACTTTTACTATGAACAATTTATTTATTATTTTTTCATATATTCATTTAATAATTTTTTGAATATTTTGCGAGATTATTATTTGATATTGACCATTTCTTTAAGACTTTTTTATATATATTATTTTTTTCACATTAAAACATTAAACACCGACTAAATTTTTCTGTTAAAATTCTCTCTAGAAAAGGAAATTGAGAAAAGAAGCAAATAACAAGAAATTAAGAATTGCCATTTTTGCATTGCAGGAGTGGTGAGTGGAATAAAGTCAAATTGGTGTTGAAGCTTAAAATGAAGAAAGAAAGCCCATTTTTTCATTTTTATTTTTCCTCTGAAACCAAAATAAAAATCAGAGTCATAACCAACCTTCCTTCTTCTGTAGTTTTTTCTATCCATCTTCAACTTTCCTTTCTCCCCTTTCCTTTTCTACCTCCAAGATTACATTTTTCTTTGACCCTTTTGCTCTCTCTCTCTCAAATTCTCCTCTCCACACACTTCCCCTTAAAGTCAATTTGATGCTCATCTGTCTCAGATCCTAGATCTTGCCGTCGGTGGGTTGATCGGAGTAGATGTCGCCGTCAAACGGGTTGCACAACGGCGGCGGCGGCGGCGGTAATGGGGCGAGTTATATAGAGCATCAGGTTTCAAAACTTGACACTCTTGCTGGTGTTGCAATCAAGTATGGTGTTGAGGTAAATACCTTTTTTGTTTTGGTATTTTTGTTGTTGTTCTGACCTTGAATTGGTTCAGGTATGGTAAAGTTGGTTGCTTTTTATGATTTTGGTTTTGGGTTTTGTTGGTTTTTCCTTTTGTTCTTTTTGGTTTTTTAGAGGGCTAAGTTGGTGTTGTTTAGTTTAAGGGTTTTAGATATATATGAACAAGAATACAAGATTGTGTGTTATGTTGTGGTTTTCAAAATTCTCTATTTTTTTTTTGAAGGGTGAAGGTTGTGTGGGTCTTTTGTTTTTGTGTTTTATCCTTTAGAGGTAAGCAAATCTGAATCAACCGATTGAGGAGAGTGCCTCAGTTTTTCCTCTAATGATTAATAATGCCAACGGTGGTAGTGTCGTGTATATGAAAGTTGTTAAGCTTTTGGCTTGGTATGGTTCTTGGTTATTTGGAACAATGCGTGATTTCTCCTTGGAGTTTCATTATCCGCTTTAAGGGTGTTTTTGGTGATGAGTTGAAAGATTGTGGTTTGGGGGACGAGAATAGGAATGAAGGATTTTCAGTATTGATAGTTGTTTTGTGGGAGGAAAATTTGGGAAATCACTTCATTGACTGTGGCCACAAGGACGGGAGTAGTAGGTGTTTTGAAACTCATTTATTGAAATCACTTCTGAATGTTGTCATTTGTTTGCATTGGTCAAGTATATGCTTATTTATGTTTTGCAAACCACTTTGTCGACATAACGCTTTCACTTCTAGTAATGTCTTTGTAAGAAACACAGGTGATCGAATTGTAGCATGGAAAATCACACATGCTAACGGCAATACATTTTTTGAGATACATGCACTTTGTCTTGAATTGTTTAATGTATAACGTATGTAGGACCAAGATGTTAAAAATGCATGGTAACTGGCAAACATTATGGCCACTTTAGAGTCTTACATAACATGATACTGAAATCTTCCGGTGAAAATTCCTTGTAACGATTCAGGTAGCTGACATTAAAAGGATGAATGGGCTAGCCACAGATCTTCAAATGTTTGCACTGAAGACATTGAAAATTCCATTACCAGGACGGCATCCACCATCTCCTGCTCCTGGTCCACATGATGAACCTGCCAAGTCAGGGTACTACTATTATACTCATTTCAGTTTTTTCCTGTCGTGGCAACGATTTTAAATGCTTCTGTCAAGAAAGATTTGCAATATCCTCTCATGACAACCTACTCCTTTTAGATTTTGACGGCAATTATTGCTTCTAACTTGAAAGTGCTTACTTTTCACTTATTTATGCTGCTAGTTCATATTCAATGCAGCTTAATATGTTTTCACGTAGTGATTTAATATGCCTGTTCAAAAATTCCTTTTTGGTTTGCCCTTTGGTTGCTCTTCATATTAAGATTATATTGCAGAAAAGTCTCCTGCTAATTGCTCAATAGTAATGTAGATTGATGTATAGAGTTTGTTTCAGATAGCATAGCTTCACCAACCTGTGTCTTTGATTTAAGATTCTGTGCTGGGTTATGGAAACTCACTCTTAACTGAACCTTATTGCAGAGATAGTAGCATTGAAAGGAAACCCCTACGTATAGGTCAATCTGCCATGAAGGAACCTCTCGAGTCCTTAAGACTGAAACCACCTCAACCGAATATTTCTCCAGCTATGAGCATTTTACAGAAATTCTATGGCCTCAAATCTTCAAATTCAAGAGATACATTAAACGGAACAGAAATGGCAGTTTATACATCTGCAAGTTCAGATCATTCTAGAGGCGAATGGCTTCCCAAAACTTCACCTATTTCAGACCTACCATCAGCATCAAATGATTACCCCAAATCAACCAATTTAGTGTTTGATCTACTGACTGGGGATGATGTGCATGAGTATGTGCCTCTTGCAGAAATTGGTGATGGGGGAGCTGAGAAGTCTGATGAGAAATCTGTCCGCAGACGTCAGAAAGAAGGAAATGGTAATGGTTCAAATGGTTTTTCTTCAAGTGGAAAGACACTAGCCATGAGGCCGAAATCGGCTAGTCGAGCAGCGCTGCTTCCTGAGTCAGAATCAGGATGGTTAGATTCAATTCCAGTGGGGTTGGGAGAATCTATATTTACCGATGGCTTTTCTGGAGTGCGCAAATCGTCGAGTGCATCGAGCCTTAGAGAGCAGGAAAAGAACAATTCAGCAACAGCCTGGCCACCTGCAATATGGAACTTGAAACCAGACTTGCAAGCAGCCATTGGGAAACCTATCTTTGATGGTTTGCCTATCCCAATAACAGGCCGCAGAAGCAAAGCTGCCCTTGATTAGTGTAAAATTGATTCCCTTTTGAGCAAAATATTTTTTTTGACATTACACAAACATAAAAATTGCAACAAGATGCAACTATTTTGGGTTGGTAAACCTGAGCAAAAAGAAGGGAAAAAAAAAAAAAAAACAAAACTACACGATTAGGATATTTATTTCTGGCCTCAAGGGGTCAATGACCTTCCAAATAAGAAAAGCTGAAGCAGTAGCAACTGAAGAAAAGGTACATGAAAATGGTTAGCAACTGATATTTCAAATGTACCAATGATGTAATGGTCAACCCTACCTTGGTTATAAAGAGTTGTTTACAGATTGATTTGTTAAATGATTGAGTCAAGCAAGTGAAAGTCATTCTGTTCGGTGGTTAACTGTATCACGTCATTGTTATTGAATACATTGTGTAAGTATTTAAGAAATTTTTTTTCTTGAGACACCCCATTATACTGTAATACCATTTAATTGTGTAAACCATGTCACATGGATACTCTACTAGCTGTCTTGTACTTTTCAATTGGATTAGTTCTTTTACCCCCATTGATACATGTTTGTGTTTTCTGTTGGCCATCCATGTAATACATCCAAGCAATCAAGCTCTCCATGTGATTTTGATTCATTGATTTTGTGCTTTTGCTAATTATATGTCCTATATCTAATAATTGTGTTGATTTTTGCATATCCTTCTATATCAAAATGCATAGTGAATATATAAAAGCTCCATGAAGTGGTCCATCCAATGAAACCTACATTGTAATAGATCTTTTATCGTGTCCATACGCAAAGTAGGGTGGTTGTGCTTTTGATATAAATGTGCTTTCAAAGTGTCCTAAAACGAGTAAAGCGAGGACTAGTTTATGAGAGAAATGGCATGGAAACTTGTTTGTGGTGGAGAAGCGATGTCAAAGAATGATAGGAAATTAAACAACTTCTAATGCAGGTATTATCTCACATGCGTGTTCCCCCTTTATATTACATGTGATAATGACAAAGGCACATGGCTGAATCACATTACCGACGCCCTCAGAAAGATGATCACTTGATATTGAACGACTATGCGGCTCTAATTATTTGATAGCGATTTGCTATATAAAATCTAAGACACGTACATGTTTTAATATAATAATATTTGCTTCCAATAATTTTAGGAAGATTCTTTTGGTATCAAGCAAGCCATCAGATTCTAATTAGTGTTAGTGTGCTCTGCACCGCACATCACTAATCCTGGTACTCCCTCCATATATACAAAACACATTTTAAATGTCTCTTAATAAAACTCTTCAAATTATTTCTTAATTTCATTATTTTTTTTATAGGATATACTTGTTTTGTTTATTATGTTTTAAATTAATAAAGTGAATACTTTTTTCTCTACAAGAACTAAAAAACGATTTCACATTAAATAATTAGGTAAAAAATAATTTGAGTAAAAAGAATGAAATGAAAATTATCAATTATTTTAAGAATAAATTAAAAAAAATACAAATTTTATATCCATAACTAAACTTTCTTAATAGGTAAGAATTAATTATATTTAGGGACACAAATAGAAATATATCAAAAAATAGTCTCGAGGAAGATGAAAAGGTATCAACTCCCAAAAGCAAATTCTTTTTATTTATTTATTTATTTATGAATATTGCATTATCTAATGTTTTCTCCATACAAGCCAAGTCATCAAATAACCCAATATTGTCTTAAACAAAAAATTAGCCACTCCTGTATGATTCGGTTCAGTTCTGAACAGTTATATTCAGGCAATCTTGTATAATTTGTGCCGAAGTGGTGCCAAGCCAATAATAGGTTAAGTTGTTTAGTTGTCATAAAGTCGAAAACTGTATCATTTCAAAAACCCATAAAATTACCTCAACTAATTCTACATACTCAAAAAATGGTCCACAATCTGTAAACAGATTTTCAGCGCTCAAGTTCACTAAAATACTCATTTCCCGCAGAGAGAGAACAGTCTCTTTTTCTTTTGGGTTGTGGGGAAGGGGGATTAGATTTACCACCTGTTTTTAGGTGGTTTCACTTTATAAATACGAACTATCCAATTCTGTGTAGTGAACGCCTCTTCCAAGTACTCAAGCTTTATGTCCTTATTTCCAATTTCAACACCTCTAGCTCGATCATATCTGTCATTTCAAGATACACGTGGTTACATAAAAATATATATATATATATATATATACATATACAAAGAGAACATGTTAAAATGCATACACAGTATTCACAAATTACTATGCTGCAAATTTGAAATCATCATTCAGGATTGTCATTGGACAAAAGGATAGCCACTGATACAAGAACTCCTATTCATTTCTTTCGAAAGGGAAGTAATAAATGTTGCAAGAAACAACAGGTTATGAAATTTTAACAGGCTGGCTAAAATTTGAATCCCAGTGACTTTGGGGCTAAACATACCTTCAATCTAAGAGCCTACTACATTGAGCATTACATGGGATACCCTCTTAAACTAGAGTATAACATAGGCTCTCCAACAATAGATGAATAAAAGATATCAAATATAAATACGCAGAAACTCATCCAAGTCCAAAAAACTTGTACAATATTTTGGAGATTTTTAACAAGCGTGATCCCCAAATAGCTAATCAAATGGCATAGATTCTTCATATTCTTTGTCAATGACACTAACGCAAGGAGGACACCTAGACTTTTTCTGTGTCGTTGTTAAAATTGTACCAACAATAAGTACTATGGAACTTACCCAGGTGGTTTGCCATATTCAGTTGTCAGCTCTCCAAACCGATAATAAGACAGCTTGTACCTAAGAATCATACAAGAAAAATATATATGTATCAAGTCATTACACACCGTTAGATATAATATAAATCCCAGTACATAATGCTACCCGGAAGTCCTGAACAACTTCCTTTTTTTCAGCAATTAAAAGAAATGGCATCTGATTCTAACTGACAAAACACTGGAGTAGCATTTTTTTTAGTAAAAGTGACAAATAGGAGATGACACCCCCAAAGACTACCAGACAAGGAGCCAATGGCATGTTGAGGAACCTCAGACCAAGGCACTATTGTCCACTTAGTAGTTAACTAGAACTCATTAGTGAACAATTTGACTCAGGACTTTACTTGTTGACCTGTAGGCTAGCACTAGAGTAGCATTTAGCCTCACTTTTAATGATCTTAGAATTATAATGTTTAAAGTAAAAAACAAGCTTTTAAAATTAAATCTATTTGGTAATTATATAATTATTTTGGGTTCGAAATTACTTATAAATTGAAAACTGTTTGACATTTTGTTCGAGTCTGGGATTTGAAATAAAGAATCAATGAGAAGATCCTAAAATTAAATTATCTAAAAGCTTTTTTTCATGTCATATTTTTTAAAAAGCTCCTTTTATGCAAGAGCTTTTCTAGAAATGTCTGGCACAGCTCTTTCTAAGGAGAAAAGGAACCCAAAATAAGCTATTCAAACACTACCTACAACCTGGTTAAACCCAAATACGCTGGCCATAGACCTATGTCAACGGACTAATTAGGAATTCCAAACTAGTTAAACTTCAGCGCTTGTGGAAGGCACAGGCCAACTTGCTGTTTTTCCATAATTGCATCTCGTCAAGCTAAAAGTCTACAACTCTATTTGTATACCAAACCCAAACAGACTAGTGTGCAAATAGATTTGCTAGAACTTAAATGATAATTCAAATGCCAAGCCCAACGAATAGTGATAAAAGACTTACATAAGACAGTTCAACATCTTTGGTGCTGCTCCTTTATCTACACGATATTCTCCATTGACAAGATAATCAGGTTCCTTTATCACAGGAAAAACTCCACCACCAATTCTCACCATCCAAAGAAATCTACACCAAATTTGGAATATCTTACAAAGGTGCTGGAAGCACTATAGCAGGAAAGATAGATAAATACTTGTACAAATCAAAACAATAAATAATCATAGGAAAAAAAGAAATGTCAATATCTGGAACATGATGATCCATAAATGTATGATTGGTTGCTTACATCTTCAGAAAAAAATTGCAGCAGTAAAATCCAACAACAAACTATCCAAACTCATTCCAACCAGACAATCATTAGAAACATAGAGATATTTTTGGTGTACAGGACCAAATACAAGTCAGAAGACAAATAGATTTGACTTTTGAACCACGTTTTCCTAGATTCATATTTTCATAGAAATAGCCTGCCAATCTGCACCAACTTGATGATGGAATATCTATAAAAAATTTATATTCTAAAAAGCATGAAGACTAGCATACACTACAGGAAAGACAAGGGTAGGTAAGAGACCATAAGAGGCACACTAAAGAATGAGGAGAGACAAGAATATAAGTGGCTTGAGCTAGGGTAACACTTAAAAGTTCTATAAGCCCATCAACTCTGATGAAGCAACCTTAGCAAGTTTTATGCAAAGCTCTGAATGCAATGATCGTCTATGCAGAGCATTTTTCATAAAAAAATGGGCAGATGCATTGAGAAAACATGGATGTAAAAGAAAAACATTATTTCATATGGGCTTACTTATTAATATCATCAGAAGAATAACCAGTAACACCACCAAACACGACTAATACATAGTCAACATCGAGCGATCTCATTATTTCATAAGCCTCATCTTCATAGGATGACATTGCTCGCCCAACAGTAGCTATGTGTGTGTTGTTCCAGGTATTATTGTCAACAATAACCGTTCTGTTTCCCATGGCAGTGATTTGATAACCATAATCCCACCATGACATCACCTTGGCATCTGGTGGAGTGTTCTGGCGAAGCCAAAAGTAAGCCTCACGATAATCATCAAAAATGACCCTGTTGCCATGGGCACCCCTTGCAGCCAAGACAATTGAGGGAGATGAGTAGGCCTCTGATGTGACCCAAGTGCAGTGAATAGCATATCTGCTGAGCAAATAGAAAGCACCAAGGAGTAACACAATAGCACCATTTTTTTGGAAAGGCTGGGAATTGTCAACTACACCCTGTGCATTAGTAATCATACACCTATTGTTAAATTGTCACATCAACATTCACTGCAATAGCATTAAATGCAAAAACACCATTCTAATACAATATTTGAGCTTCTACCTGAAAAAAAGATTAACCGATGAAAAAATAAACTATTAAATATAATTGTTGTGCAAGAATATGGCAATTACCATTCTGGTTAGCATGTGATTAATAAAGGAGAGAAAAAACTCAACACAATACAATGCAACTCAACTAAGAAACCTTTGCTGAATGAGTTACTTAAAAAGAATCTAACCTTAGAAGAACCTTTTGCAGTGCTAGTTCCTTTACTAGATCCACTTTGAACAGATGGGCTTTTGGCCCTAACTAACCGAGTCAAATTCTTCACGGTGGCAGAAACTGCAATAGCACTAATGAGGCACACAGCAGGGGTAGCAACAAGAATCAGCCGAACCATAACCCCGGCAAAATACATGCTTGTAAGACCATACATAACTAAAAAGATTGTAGCATCAGACAAGCGCTTGAAGCAAAAATATAGGCCAGCTGGGAAAAGGAACAACAAGATATGGAAATCAAACATGAAGGATGACCAAGCAGTAGGCTGATGCTCAGAGACCGATGCAATAATCGGAATGTGATCCTTAGCATACGTTGGATCAAGCAAGGAGTAAAACCTCCCAGTCCATGGAGATATATAACCAGATGCCATGCCTACTCCCAAAGCAACAGCACCAACAGCAACCGCACTGGTCACAGTGATCCTCAAAAATGCCTGAAACAACTTTGTATCACTCAGCAAATGCCTCACCCAATCCAAGAAGAAAAATACCTGCAGAAACAACCCAAGTTAGACCCAAAAGAGAAAAACACGTACCATATAACAACGATATTTAGGAGCAGTTCCTCATGTGCTTTTACTAATATTCTCCTATTAGAATTGAAGTTTCACCTCGACAACCTATATTAACCTTCAAAACTAACCTTTACAATGCAAACTATTAAAGTAAACTTCTAATTCTGGTTGAAGAAGTCAAAGATTATAAATTGCACTTGATATTCAGTTGCAATCCTTAATATCGTGGGAAATTGTGAACAAATACGACAACAATGGATGTTGTGAGGATTCCAAAAGCCTTGATGTTGTGACCATTTTAAGGTTTTAAAAAGTGGTATGCAATGCAACTAGTATTTCAACTGCAAAATGTCAAGTTTGTGAATTCTTCATGACTGTAACTGCAGCGAGATCAGCAACCTTTGTTCGCAATTTCCCAAAACACCAAGGATCACGACAAAAATGTGATTGCATTTTAAAACCTAGGGGTGCATAAATCCCAACAAACCTTCACATTGCATCCAAAATCACAATCGTGAACCATTAAGTGAATGTTTGGAATCTTTGGATGCTAGTTGAGAAAGCTCAAAAGTACTTTTACTTCCAGAGCAACTAATTCTTCCTTCTTAATATTGTGCCATCGACTTTGGAAATGTGTATTGGAAATTCCCAAATACATGTTCCCAAATTTTATCCAAACATAGTCTTATGCTTGGATACAAGTTGAGAAAGTACTTTTGTGAATTCCAATGCACATCTGCATTCCAAAACATAAAAAAGAACTACGAAGAAATTGTTACTTCGAGAGTTAAAGTACCTTTGACCTCTCCCAATTGAAATCCAAACATGCACACACATATCTCCCTTTTTCACGTCAAGGGCATCAAAAGCCCCAGAAGCTACTCTGTAGTAACTTCTGCTGGGTCCACGTCCAAGGGTAAGAGCCATGATCCCAACACGCAGATAGTCAAAATACAGCACAGAACTTCCAAAACCCTTGACATTGCAACAACCACAAACTATACGCATATTACTAATGTGAAACTCCAATTCTGATTGGACAAAAATACCAACAATATTTGTAGTACCACATATAAGTTTTATCCTTTCTAAATATGTACATTAAAATGCATATTTAATATACGTATTACTTAGGTTAAACTCCAATTCTGATGGGAGAACAACACCAACAACATCTTTGATACTTCATGCAAGTTTTATCCTTTCTAAAACCGCATGAAAGCCACCTAAAGAACGGCATCTAAATTCCATCCGGATTAAATTCCCACAGAGTTAAAACCAGAATCGAACCTGCAGCAAGAAAAAGACGCCCATTGCCGCCATGTGCTCCCCGGACTGCACATGCTGGAATCCCACAAACCTAATCTGCATAGCCAACAACATTCCCAAAACATACATGCAGTTATACGCCACATAGAGCCTCAACGAGTACCTCCCCGTGACCAGCAGCACCAACACATAAAGCGGCACCAAGTTGATTATAAACACATAACCCCCCCACGCCGAAACCATGTAGAAATACCCAAACGCCGAGCCCAAAGACCACGCCAGCGACCCAGTATTCACAGCCTTCACAAAGAGGTAAAACGTGAGCAAGAGGGCGAAGATCGCAACCCCCTCGTTGTCGTAGGAGCCGGCGACGGAGCGGGAGATGTAGCCGGGGCAGATCGCGATGAGCGCGGCGGCGACGAGGCCGGCGCCGGAGTCCCAAACCTCCTTGGCGAAGAAGTAAGCGACGAGGGTGGTGTTGGAGGCGAAGAAGGGGGCGGTGAGGACGCAGACCTTGCGGATGTGGACAGCGAGACGGAGGAGGCGGAGGAGGGAGTGAATGGCGACGGCAGTGAGCATGAGGCCGGGGTAGAGGGTGCCGCCGACGATGCGGCCGAGGGGTTCCAGGACTCGGAGTCGAACCAGTTCCAGAACTCGGAGAAGCCATGGCGCGTGAAAAAAGAAGCGTGGTGCAGTAGTTGAAGTAGGGGTCGAACTCGTGGATCATGGACTCGTAACGGAGGACGCTGAAGAGGCGCGTGACGAAGGCGAGGAGGTAGATGAGGGAGAGCGTGGCGACGCGGATTAGGAGCTCTTGCTGCTTGGTTTTGAGCTTGAGGGTTTTGGGGAGGGAGAAGGAGTTGAGGAGATCTTGCGCCATTGGAGAGGCTTTGGAGGTGACTACCATTGTTGAGATTGATTGGTTTAGGGTTTCATGGGAGCGATGGTGGATCACTGGATCTGAATCTGATTGAGTCAAGGAATGAACAATACTCTGAGTCAACGGGAGTGTTTTTTTAAGCAAACAAAATTTAAGATGACACTGGTATTTCAATAAATAGGATAACTGTTTATTTAAATAATTTAAATTTAATAAAATAATTTTGAATATATTAAGTATTATAATTAATTTTTTTAATAAATATTTTCTTTTTCTAGTTATTAAATCAAATTTCAAATTAAAAGTTAAAATATATTTTAAAACAATAAAAAATTAAAATTAAATTAAATGTTCAATATATGAAATTAATATATTAGTGAAAGTGATAACAACTCTCAAAAAAGCTCCGGTTCAACATAAGTTCTTAAATTAAAAAATAATTCCTAAAATTACTCATTCAATATTGGATAAGATTTTGAATTTATAATATAAAAATAAATTATCAATAATTAAAATAATTTTATAACATTATAAATTATTTTTGTAAATTTAGATCACAGTATATGTTCACTTATTAAGTACAAAATTTACCTATTATACATTTTAAATATGATATAATTTATATATTTAAAGTATTTATTTATTATAAATTTTAGTTAAATAAAAATAATAATTTATATGTATTATGCATGACCAAATATTAGTTTATTTTTGAAAAATTTTGCAGAGACTGTTGTCACGGGCCGGGTCCGCTACAAATTAGTACAAACGGGCATATCCTATTTTATCATTATACTGGGCCTTCAGAACTCAGAATGAAAATAATGAATCTGGAAATTACTTTTCACGTTACTCGACGCCTCTTTTATTTTAAAATTTATATTCCAAAACTATAATTTTAGGAGTGATCAAGAATTTTAAATCCGAATATGATTTAAGAACCTTTCTATTTCAAAATTTCAATCCTAAAATGCATTAATCTCTATCAAAATTAAATTGGGCTAATTTACAGTATGGAAGACAAACTATGGATAACACGGTTAAAATCCTATGACCATGAAAAAAATAACCAACCTACGAAGGATGAGGCGAGAATATTCCATAGTGTTGCATTAACAAGACAACAAAAATTACTGATTCTCAGCTGCTGAATTTGTATCTAGCCAACAATTACAAAGCGCAGAATCCTAAAACTTATTTGTTCCATATTAACGTCGAAGAAAGAAATCGTTAGTAGAGAAAATTTAAACGGACGATTGAAACCAATTAAGAGGATTCGAAATGAATTTATCATAAACTTTGGAGGAAATAAGTCTACACTGTCATTGCTTGGTCATCTACCAAGATTCAGTACACTCATCAAAGTGACACCTGGTGATGTTACATGTTCGTGTGTATCTAATTCTTCCCTTAATGTCACCATAACAATTAATGCCTACCACAGACATTCCCAAAACTATCAGGGTCGAATATGTAATCATTGGATTACACATCTTTGCCCAACCTTGCAGACACAGCATTTAAAGTTTAAAAAATGCAATCTAAGTTGATGGAAATTCACTGGCCACAAAAAATGGAGTGCAAAGGGGCCGGTCTCAAACTTCCGCAAATATAAAGCATCTTGAATTACTTTTATTTTAAAACACCTCTTGTAACTTTGAAAAAAAAAAACAGAAAAAAAATTGCCCACTATTACCAATGGGAACCAAGTCTTTTGAACATGTTATAAATAATCGAAACCAAAATGATTTGATGAAATTAAATGAACCCAAACTATTGCACCAAGCCCTTCTGCTTGAAAACATCTAGCATGGCTGCTCCAATTTTGGCAGGGGACTCCACAACTGTGACCCCAGCTTCCCTGAGGGTTTTAATTTTGTCTTGTGCAGTTCCCTTGCCACCCGACACAATAGCTGCACAAGCAAGAAGGGTTAACATCATATAAAAGTGAATATCTAACTAAATTAAATGTAGCTGCAAAGTAAAGGCCAAAAACAAAAATTCAACTTAAAAGCTGGCATTGCTCTATTGTCGTCCCTGAACATGCAATTTTCCCTAACTAACTTTCATCAGTTTTGACCGTTAATCATATTAAGTTTAAAATATTTTGCATAAGCCCAAGATTCATCCAACCATATTAAACACAAGGTGTGTTTGGATAAACTTTTCCAAACATACTTTTAGAAGAAGAAAATAAGAAAAATTATATGGGATCGAACTCCCCATGATAAAGTTGGTTAAGCATACCCCACAGTTACACCGAGAAATTTTTAACACCTGATGACACTCCACAAGATACTGCGGCACACCTAGATTGTACATTTGAATAGTGGGAGAGAAATTCGTATCATTCAATTCATCTTAGCTTATGTTTTCATACTTATATAAGCTTTTTTTCTTTGTATTTAATTAAAACAGAATTCAATGGCATCCCATGGAAAGTCTATTCTAGATAATGGACCTGTTCGAAAAAAGCTTTTCCAAAAGCACTAATAGAAGAAGAAAATAGGAAACAAAAATAAAATTAACTTCTCCATAAGTTAATTTTTAGAAACTCTTGCATAAGCTAATTTTTAGAAACTCTTAAATAGCTACTCCAAAATCTTATTTTTAACTTACGCATGAGTTAATTTTATCTCATAAAGTTTATTTTATTCTTCTTCCCTATTTTCTTCTTTTTTAAGTATTCTTGGAGAAATTTATCCAATCAGACACTGTTTTGTTGCGTCTATTGTAGTGTCCAATGTTATGTTTATACCACATATCATGCAACATTAAAGAATATTAATAAATATCAACAGCAGCTCTAAACAAATTTGAAAATCAAATGCCACAATATAGACAAATAAGAAACAAAACAAGATCAAGAAGCATGCCACCTTATTCATGTCAAGTCAAGCAACATGTAGAAATGACATCAGTTCCAAAATATCAGAAATAATCTTACCTCCAGCATGACCCATACGACGACCAGGAGGAGCAGTTAAACCAGCAATAAATGCAACAACAGGCTTCTCAGTACCGCTTTCCTGTATAGTCGTTCATAAAACCAGTAAGCATATATAAATGCTTTGATGAGCATGTATTCATTCTTTCTCTATAAAATGATATAACAATGTAACACCTAATAAACATTTACTTTCTTGTCCACCAACAAAAGGAGATTCACATAGACCAATACAAGAATTTGAGCTATTAAAAAGCACATTTGAATTTTTCTTTATATAAAAAAATGCCACATGCAACTTATATGCTTTGATGACCTCATTGCCTATATGTCTAACTTTAGCCATCCAAGTACAATAAAAGATATCTAAAACACAAACCCCATCATTTTGAACTTAACATTGGCTTCATAGTAATCATATAATGAACTTAGACCTAATGACAAGCCATAGTGTTGCATCCACCAGAGTTGAGATCATGGTGTCAAAATACAACTAATGTTTACAGTAACAGATATCAAATAACAAAAAGTAAAAAACCAAGCCTAACCAAATTAGACTAGAGAAGAGATCATTTAGAATTGATCATCAATCCATTGATGCATATTGTTATGGAGAACACATGTCAGAACACCATATCATAAATCGATTAAATTAAAAATAATAATGGAATTAGGAACAGAATAATAACATAGCAGGTTATGCACTGAGCAATATACAAATCTCAGGTTCTTTACCCATGTTTACAACAGGTGGAAAGGAATGACAGGTGTTGAGAAGAATATAGGCATAGAAGGAAGTTGCATCAGGTGTCAATGAAAGCAGGCAAGGAGACATAAAGAGTAACGAAGGAAATGCACTTAATGAAGATAATGAAATGGAGGTGGAATTGTTTACAAATAAATAAATAAATAAAATAGGAGCTTAACAGAAGTGGCAAGGGGCAGCTGACAGATGGAAAGTGGGGAGCAGGATTCTGGTATGAGGGAGGGTGGGGTAGAGAGAGACAATGAATAAGGAGGTAAAAGGCCTGGAACAGGAGAAGGCAAACAAGATATTGAGTTTGAGGGAGGCTTGGATGTGGCTGGATAATTAAAGTATTCTGTTTTTTTTTTCCTTATTTCTTAAACCATTTTCCTCTAACTTTTCTAAGTTTTATAGAGAACTTCCTCTGCTAAAAGGAGTTAGACCCATTCATAAGTATATTTTGAATCCAAGCTCTATCAAAATGCCTTCCCAGAATTATAATTGTAAAAGGTAAGAAGCATATCTTAGACTGGTTAACAGGTGACCCTTCCCCACAACTGTCAGATACACTCATTTTTACTTTTTTGGATACTGATAACTGTAAAAAAACATGTTTATGCACAGGTAACAATTAAAAGGGAACCTTAATTAGTGCAGCAGCATCCTCTTCTGCAGTTCCTCCTATCTCTCCTATAAGAATGATACCTGATTTGCACAAACAAACAATAATCATAAATGACCTTGTCCCATTAATCTTATAGTAACGCTTGTTAGGCAAAGAAACTATGTGCAAAAGACATAACCCAGGTTCAGTGGATAAACAGAACACACAGAAACATACATGAGAAAAAATAAAATATGACAAAGTACCTTCTGTTTGAGGATCTGCTAGGAACTTCTTAAGGCAGTCAACAAAGTTTGTTCCATTAAAGGGATCTCCTCCTATACCCACACAAGTGGATTGTCCAAGGCCAACAGCAGTCGTTTGAAAAACCTGAATAGTTAAGAACAAATACATGGTTTATCCAATAATAGACGAGCATCAATTTTCGTGGTGAAAGCATACAATTAAAATTTAAAATGATATATGGATGTTGGATTTTCTTTAAATGTGTAATAATGTCAGTAAATTATTCCAGAGAAAACAAGCAAGTTAATTATTATGCCAAACACTGCTGTGGGAGAAATCAAGATATGATAATATCACAAGTGGCACAAAAGATTCGCAGGAAAGCGCAGTCGTAACTTCACAAGTGGACTGGAAAAATAGTAAGTACTAAGTGCAGCTTCCACTTAAGAAAAGCCGCATAACAAAGACAACTAATTCTAGTTTGACAAATAAGCATTACAATGACACATCATTACTCATCATTAGGGGGGCTCAGTTTGAAATTTCAAATCTCATCAACAATACACATAAGTCAAACTCATCATACACTACTGCAACAAA